TGGTCAACCCGATTTCTTGATAAATCAAGAAAAGCCATTCAGGAACGCGTTTCTTTAAATATCGAAATCTTTCAGGTCTTGACCTCCTTCTACAGAAATTATCTGTTGAGGAACTACAACGCTGTCTATTATAAACAGTGATCTATTTATACTAAATACATTTTTATTCACCTAAAGTTAAACTTATTAGAAAAATTTTAAATATTATCTTTCTTAAGCGAAACATTACACCAAGCATGTCAAACTCAAATCCTAACACGGGCCAAATAAAAAAGTAATAAGATTATGTGGGCCGCAAAAAAAAAAGAAAACAAGTAATTAAATTTTTATAGTAACATTTATGTAGGTTTATTTTAAAAAATACTAATAAGAAAAAGAAAGTAAAGTTAATATTTTCTCCCTGATATTTGGCATCTCTTTTCTGCTACCATTTTTCCTACTTCGGGGGAAATCTTTTTCGCAGTGATTAATTTTAAAACTGAACCAAGGTGAACGTCAGTAATTCTCGATCTGATTGGAGCCTTATTTCCTTTCATAAGTGAAAATAACTGCTCGCACCGATAAGTACTTCCAAACATGGACATAATTTCATATGCTAATTTTCGAGTGTTTTCAAATCTGACTGGCAAATATTTGTAAAATTCAGAAACGCCAACTTCAATGAATTTTGCCTTTAAATCTGAATCGCACTGGATATCTATTACCTCCATTTGCATATGATTAGGTACTGATTCTATATTTATCCATAAAAGCGAAGAAAACAAAGTAAACTTGCCTTCCAAAGATTTGAAATCAGAAAACCTTGTTTCAAATTCATTTCTAAGACTTAAAATTTTTTCCGCATATTTTTGATACGATGCAGTTTCACCTAAACTTGATTTGTACATGTTGCATTTCGGAAAGTGCATTAAATCTTCGTTTTTCAACTGCTTTTCCCAAAGAACTAGCTTACATTTGAATGCATTAACTTGGTCACACATGTTGGTAATGATCTGATCCTTTCCTTGCAGTTTCAAATTTAAATCCGACAAGTGTTTTGTTATGTCAACCATGAAGGAAAAATCTTGCAACCATACTTGATCAGAAAACAAAGTGATGTCTTGATTCTTGGTTATTAAAAACTGACATATTTCTTCTTTCAAGTCCCAAAATTGTTTGAGAACCTTGGAGCATGATAGCCGTACCTCGGTATAGTATGATAAACCTGAATATTGGCTTTCTAATTCAGTTAAGAACAGAGAGAACTGTCGCTGATTTAAACCTCGAGATCTTATGAAATTGATGAATTTTTTGATAGGTGTCAACACATTTTCCATTTTTATTACCTTCGTACATAATACTTCCTGATGTATAATGCAATGCGTATGATGAATATTGGAACCATCAGAAATTTCACTTAGTTTTTTTCGCAGTAATGCTACGAAACCGTTGGTTTTTCCAGTCATTGAAGGAGCTCCATCTGTTGCTACAGAAGTCAATTTTGATTGAGGTAAATTGTATTTTTGCAGAAGATCATAAACGCAATTAAATATATCTTCTCCTGTAGTTGTGCCATGCATCGGTACTAGTTCCAATAATTCCTCAAAAATGTTGAAATCCGTGTCGCAAAGCTCGAAAAAAAAACAGCTAACTGAGCTACGCCCCCAATGTCAGTACTCTCATCACAGGCAATGGAAAATGCTTCGAAACAAGATGATTTTTCTTTTATCTGATCATTTAAATTTCTGGCCATATCAGTAACTCTTTCCACAACGGTATTTCGAGACAAAGATATTGCTTGAAACGTCTTCACACTTCCAGGACAAACAATTTCTGCAGCTTTAATTAAACATTCCTTGATGAAATCACCTTCAGTAAAAGGTTTTGAGTGTTTAGCTATCATCTCCGATAAAACGTAGCTTGCATGCACCGCCGCTTCACTCTCTTGTGATACTTTAGTAAACATAAACTGTTGTTTTTTCATTCCCAACTTGAACTCTTTTAACTTTTCTTGTCTCATTAAACCTTCGTAGGTATCATATTTTGATTTATGTTGTTCATAATGACGTTTAATGTTATATAATTTTGGTACACTAATAGCATTATTACATATCAAGCAGATGATTTTATCTTTTACTTCAGAGCAAAAATACTCTAATTCCCACTTTTCTTGAAAATTCCTATGTTCGTCAGCAATTTTTCGTTTAGTTTTACTGCCACTTGGTTTTGATGAAGACATATTGAATACAAAGGTCTGAAAAAAAATTATCAATCGCTAACACAAAATAATAAAACGTTTTAATTAATATTTTAATTTTTTTTTAATTAATATTTTTTAACTTACCAGACACAGAATAACTGCACAAATTATTGAACGTAACTTTAAAAAAAAAATTTTTCTAGTACTCCGAAAGAATATTTTCTTTAAACTTTAAGGCACACAATACTTATGGCGATGTACATACGTTATGTTATGTAGGTATAATATTATCAAAACTTACGACTTATGTATGGCGACCAGTGGTTCGTTATTAATAAATAAATTATGTATAATTACAATTTTTAAAAATTAGGCTACAAATTTTTATTATTATTTTTTTAATTTATAAAATATTTTTATTAAAATATATTGTCTGGTGGGCCGCAAATTTATTCGTTGTGGGCCGCATGAGGCCCGCGGGCCGCGAGTTTGACATGCTTGCATTACACTATAGAAATTTGATTTTATTGACATATTAGTAAATATGAAAAATTAATCCCATTAATTTTTCCATTACAGTAAGGACAGAAGAAATTGTTTATTTTTAAAAAGAACCATACGCGTATATAATAGTTTCCAATTTTGATAACAGATGGCACGCTAATGCATCATAATATAATGGCTATAATAAAAGACACAATTTGATATTTGCGGAAGAACGATGCTCGAAGCATATTATATATTCATAAAAGTATGTAATTCTGCTGTCCTCAAAGCTTATGTCCATAGTTCATTTAAAATACCCATTCAAAGAGTCTAATAACAGTATCACTATAAAAGGAAGTTCGAAAAATGCAATATAAGTATGGTAGATTAAACTGGCGAAACCGCTGAGAGGGTTCACTACTGATGACCCAGGCTCTCCCATTGATTTCTCCATTGCAGTAAGGACAGTAGAAATTGTTTTTTTTTTTTTTTTTTTAAATCATACGCGTCTATAATAGTTTCGAATTTTGATGGAAAAAAGTACAAATGTGATATTGTACTGGTATAAGGTGGATTAATAAAGAAAAAGGCATCTCCTTATCTTGCAACTGAAAGTTTCAACGCACTAATAAAAGTTCTAAGCTATATACACCCAGATTCTAGCACAAGTTTGAAGTGGAAATTGTCAAAGAAAATTGTTATTCAAAGAAGAACTTCCTGGTACTATAGAGCTTCAATCAGGAAATGACCTGATCTAAAAACCTTTAACTCTTTTCTTAGAAACGTCTTACATATCAACATATTGGTCCGTATATATAAAGAAAAACTACTTAACACCGTTTTTTATTAATTACAGTAAATTTCTACTTCCTTTACTGTAATGGAAAAGATTGGGAAGTCCTGGCTAATCAGTGATGAACCCTTCATTTGATAAAATGATCTGATTTGATTAATTTTTTTAAAATCCTAATAGGCATCAAATATATACTTTGATATTTTCTCTCTCTATATATATATAACATGGTTCAGCCTACTCCACGCTGACGAGCGCAAAAAGCGCGAAACGCGTTCGTGGATGGCATTTCTTGATTTATTAGGAAATTGGGTTGGCCAAATATCAGGGAACAGGCTAAATCAATGTTTAGTTGATTTCTGTTCCACTAGATGGCGCTCTGCCATCTAAAATGCACATGTTATCATGGGTCAGGATATGCCATTTTTAATATACGTATATACCATCGTTCTGAAAATAGAGCAACCCATATTTAATTCATTAGATAATAAAAAGACATAAATTGTATTGAATAAAAGATAATTTTTGCATACACAAATTTCCCCCACCTACGTTGTAATTTTAAAATATTTCAACTGTGATATTATAACACTATGCGGCGCTGAGTTTGTTTATACAAAAATGTAATGCCTTGATAAAGGTTGGCGTTCAGCCAACTGAAATATTGGCAAATAAATCTTTTATTCAATCCAATATATGCCTTTTTATTATCTAATATATAATTAACACAAAGCAATAACGCGCCATCTATACATATAAAATAAAAGGATTTAAAAGCACGAATGTTTCTTTTATACATAATACAAACTTCTACTATCCTTACTGCGATGAAAAACATGTATTGGGAGGGCTTGGCTTATCAGTGATGAATATATAATACCGTTAAGAGAATTTCGCAATTTATAAATTTGTTGTTTAATTTAAACATAGAAGGTTTGGTTTATATATATAATAAATAAGTAGTTAGCATATATATATAGTAGTTAAAAAGAAAAACAAAAGAACACCAGCAAAGCTACGGCGGTTACGTGTTATAGGCTAGGTAAAAAAAAAGAATCAACGAAGAGATAGGTTTGTAAAAAAGAGCAAAGACAGAACCATGATAATTTTCTAAATATTAAAATTAAGCTAATTAGAGAAAGAGAAGTTTTTACCCCCTATATTCTCTCTTGACGAAAGAAGATAGATTTTTTTAATTTATACAATTCGCCACTCGTGCATCATGTGGATGTTTACAAGGTTAGAATTCCCGAGGAAGATAGGCGAACAGCCTCATCAATATATTGGAAGTTATAATAAATATTTTATCCAAAATAAGCGTTAATCATTCAATGTATATATGGGACCAAACCTTTGGTCGTAGAGGTACAGTCTGCACCACGCTGACGAGGGCCAAAAGCCTGAAACGCGTTCGTGGTTGAGTTTTCTTGATTTATCAAGAAAATGGGTTGGCCAAATATCTTTGAAACAAGCTAAATCAATGTTTAGTTGATTTTTAATCCACTAGATGGCGCTCTGCCATATAAAATTCTCATGTGAGCAGTCAGGATAGGCAATTTTGTTTTTAATAATGGACATGGCATCTGCCCGGTAAGCGGAAGGTTGTGGGTTCGATTCCCGCCCCTGGACACTTTTATTTTTCCGTTCGCCATTACTCTTCATATTTTCACCCTTCCATACTTCATCCAAAAAAGTTAGAAATAGTAAATATTTCTCTTTGAAATAAATATTGATTTTTCACAGAAAAGAAACTTATGCGGTGAAACTTCAAGTGTTGTTTTATAATCATACGCCGCAGTCCTTTATAATGTATTATAAGTTACTTTAAGTATTATTTACGAACGGAAAAATACGTCCAGGGTAGCCTAGTGGACATGGCATCTGCCCGGTAAGCGGAAGGTTGTGGGTTCGATTCCCGCCCCTGGACACTTTTATTTTTCCGTTCGCCATTACTCTTCATATTTTCACCCTTCCATACTTCATCCAAAAAAGTTAGAAATAGTAAATATTTCTCTTTGAAATAAATATTGATTTTTCACAGAAAAGAAACTTATGCGGTGAAACTTTAAGTGTTGTTTTATATATAGGAATTTAAATTCTTGTATACTTTTATTATTAATATTTGTTGTTAGTGTCCCAATCAAGTCGACTTTTGGTGACTATATAGGTAGATATCCTCTTATTTTCTCTCATTCTGTTAGTGACCTTCACTCACAGCTTATTCAATGACCTTTCAGAGGTTTCCTTGACCTCTTCCAGCCATCTTATTCCTCTCTTTCCTTCAATTTATCCAAACATCTTTTCTATAAGCCTTTTCTATCTCTATTAAAAGAGATATAGTAAAATACGAATAAATGCACTCATAGATAAAACTTAAGGATGTGGAAAGTCTTTGATGTCGCCAGTCGTCTGTTATTTATTTATTTTTTGAAAGAGACAGAGGCAATTTAGTTCATACTTTAGTTATCTCGTGTGTCTTCAATAAAGGTCACTGTAATATCTTTCAGAGTTATTGTTTGAATCCCGATATACATGCTAAATGGTACAACTTCCTTAAGTTTTGTCCACACTTGGTTATCTCGTATGTCTTCAATAAAGGTCACTGTAATATCTTTCAGAGTTGTTGTTTGAATCCCGATATACATGCTTAAAGATACAACTTCCTTAAGTTTTGTCCATAAGTGTAAACCTGTAAACTGAATAAATTCGAACTACAAGGTAATAAGACTAAATTTAAATAAATAGTGTGTGACGTGTTTTGGTAACAGTGTTGTTACCATCATCATGTTATTTATTCTTTTGTTTAATTATGGTAACAACACCCACTATTTATTTGGATTTAGTCTTGTTACCTTGTAATTCTAATCTATAATCCAAATTGTATACAAAAATGTAATGCCTCGATAAAGGTTGGCGTACAGCCAGCCGAAATATTGGCAAATAAATCTTTTATTCAATCCAAAATATGCCATTTTACTATCTAATAATCCAAATGGTATACCTTATAAATTTTGAATAAATTCGGTTATAATTGTAGAACAGTTCGTAATATCGGTGTATTTGATAGATCTCGAGATATGGCTGGAACTCCGGTCCATGAGTTTAAAGCCCCAGGATTATGACCTGTTACAGCAAGGTGGACACACCACCTGGAGCAGGTTCGCTCTGACGTCACACATCCGGGACTTCCCTATTGCAGTCTGCCCTTCAATTCCATTGGTCTTTCTTACTTGATGGATTGTTGACCTCTTCTAGGAGTAGATTGGTCTTTTACAGAAAGAGCAACCCAAATCTTCATTTTTTATTATTATCCCTAGTACACGTAGGAGCCATGATAATCATGGTGAGTAGTTAGTGACTAATGTGATTGTGTATATACTGTTGCATCATGGCTAATGCACCTATTTTATTTTAATTTGTAATATTATTTTTATTATATTTTAAATTCAAATTGAGATTTTATATTTATTTATTTTAATAAACAGAATATATGTATTATAAACAGATTATGTACTATAAAAATCGCCATTTGTATTTTGCTACATTGTGTGACTTCACAGATCTCTTTGATGTGAGAAATAAATAAATTATTCTGGAGGCTACTTAAAGGAGAGTTATCTCCACTTATATAAATTTGTAGGATGGTTGAAACACGCTGTGGTAAGATACAAGACCCGGCACAGGAGAGAATCAAGGCTGAAGAGTCTGCCAAGCCGCAACCTGGTGCAACAATACTTAAGTGAAATTTTCAACGCCATCTATTGATCATTTCTTCAACCTAGCAGATACTTGGATCATTGACAAAGCCACAACGCCATCTTTGTTTGATTCAGAATGTCTATCTCTGGAGATGTGGTTTCAGGCTTATAGCCTTTATCAGTCCAAGACGGACTTTGATAAAAATGAGATCTACAATATTATTTATTCGTAGATTAACCTATTCAACTCAATTCTTATCAGTTTCCAAGGAGACTAACGTGGCAACGGCACCCATTTTCTAAGAACACCATAACAACAACAACATTGGTAAATTCTATGGCCAAACTTTCTATAAATGGCTAAAAGGTTTTGTTCTTTTTTTGACGGGAGAAGTGTCCTTTTATAATATATGAAAAGTGGCAATGTGTGTATTTATATATTTGTATTATTCCTGATAAAAATAAACATAATATGTAAATACTAAAACAAGAACATTAAGCCTCCAGGGAAAAGTTTCTTTTAAAAATATTTTCTACTTAAAAAAATCTTACAAGCTTTCGGGCAAGAAAGCTCCTCTTCAGGAAAAAATATTTTACATTTTTAAAACGCCAATAAAATAAGATTTTAAATTAAATAAAGTGCTTTGGTTTTTTTAAATAAAGTGCAAAAAATATTTTTAAAATTTTACACAAATAAATTTACTGGCAATGCGTTTCTTTTTTAAATCTCTACAGACCTTACTGCAATGATATGATTTAATGAATGAGAGGGCTTGGCTCATCAGTAGTGAACCCTCTGGCGAAACCGCTGAGAGGGTTCACTACTGATGAGCCAAGCCCTCTCATTCATTAAATCATATCATTGCAGTAAGGTCTGTAGAGATTTAAAAAAGAAACGCATTGCCAGTAAATTTATTTGTGTAAAATTTTAACGATAGAGGGCAATAAAATTTAATTTATTAAAAAATATTTTTAAAAGAAAATTTTCCCTGGAGGTTTAATGTTCTTGTTTTGATATTGATTCAAGGGATTATTTTATCGAATAATATGTAAATAGAAATATGCAAATTCAACTTACTGAGATAGAGAGGAGAATCCTTCTTCTTGACATTGTCATCCAGGTAGGGTGTGCCGATAGTGTAGAAAGCCGTGTAGCCAAAACCATTGAGGAAGTTGGCGAGGAAGAGCAGGACGACCGCAGCGAAGGTAGGGGAGGAATGGAGTCCCGAAGAAGACTCACAGAGTGATGCCTCTCGTCCAGGGGCCGTACAGAACTCCCTAGAGGGAAGTGCATTGGTGACATTGGCCTGTAGGACATCCCGCGAGCCGAAGATGACAAAAGGCAACGAACTGAGAAAACAGCTCAACACGACCACCAACATCCCACCAAAGATCAGTCGAGGTCTATGCGAACTCCCACCGTAGAATCCAATTACCAAACTGAGGACAATCGGACTGAGATTGTCAGCTATCAGAATGACACCACTGATCTTGCTCTCGAAGGCATAACGACGTTCCAAAGTGGACATCACACCAACAGTATAGGTGAAGTAAGCACCCTGTAGGATCCCCAAGGCACAGTAGTTAGCAAGGAAGGCTCGAGGACTGGCAAATCTCTGTAGGAATGCCGGTCTGCAGCTCCCGACTCCACACAGCACATCCTCGTCTTCCTGGCTCTTCCTGCCATCTGTCGGACCTGCACATCCACCGTTCTGCTTTTAGTTACATCAACAGCATCGAGGTAAGAGTATATATACTCATGGACAAAACTTGAGAAAGTTGTACCTTTCAGCATGTATATCTGGATTTAGACAATAACTCTGAAAGATATTTGATACACTCATGGACAAAACTTAAGGAAGTTGTACCTTTTAGCATGTACATTGGGATTCAGACAATAAATCTGAATGATACACTCATGGACAAAACTTAAAGAAGTTGTATCTTTTATCATGTATATCGGGATTCAGACAATAACTCTGAAAGATATTTGATACACTCATAGACAGAACTTAAGGAAGTTTTACCTTTTAGCATGTATATCGGGATTCAGAAAATAACTCTGAAATATATTACAGTGACTTTTTTATTGAAGAAACACGAGATAACCAAGTGTGGACAAAATTACCTTAAAATAAATAAATAACAGACGATTAGCGACATCAAAGACTTCCTTATGTTTTGTCCATAGGTCTATATATTCCCATTCAACTGTGTATTGTGTAACATTCTAGAGTACAAAATTCTTTATTGAACATTCTGATTGCTAATAAAATTTGTTATATTGATTTGGGTAGTGAATTCAAAACCTCTAAGGAATGCATAAAAATTCTAACCATAGAAAATTTAATATAGAGGAATATCTTTCAATACAAACTTTTTTATCCTTTTATTTTGAATGGATTCCGTGTAAACATTCCTTATGAACAAAGAGACGATACATTCTCGAATGTCAAACTTGGTGAGGAAAGACACGCTTGAACAAATGGATCCACAAATTATGGATCCATTGAACATTTTTAAATAAACATTTATAATTAAAATTATTTATCGATTCTAAGATAAACAAATTTTGGATTATTCAAAATATACACTCATGGAGAAAACGTAAGGAAGTGGAAAGTCTTTGATGTCGTCTGGTTTTTTTAAGGAGACAGGGAACTTAGTTAACTCTTGGTTATCTCGTGTGTCTTCAATAAAGGTCACTAATATCTTTCAGAGTTATTGTTTGAATTCCGATATACATGCTAAAAGGTACAACTTCCTCAAGTTTTGTTCACACTTGGTAATCTCGTATGTCTTCAATAAAGGTCACTGTAATATCTTTCAGAGTTATTGTCTGAATTCCGATCGATATACATGCTGAAAGGTACAACTTCTTTAAGTTTTGTCCTGAGTGCAATGTCAAAAGCCATCAGTACTTCTGAGTGAT